TAATCTTAAGATCAATCACACTACAAGGGTAGGTCAGCGGGGGGGGGGAGATACTTGCCCCACCCTGGAAAATGAGAAACATAATTATTTTTTATTCATTCAGCAAATGTATATGAATATTTTTTTATTTAATTCACAATTTCACACTACTCTGCCCCTCCCCCCAGAAAACTTCGCCCCTCTCTGGAAAAATTTTTGCGGACGCCCATGTACATGCATGCTTGTCTATAAATGCGAAATTTCATATGTTGCTACTATAATTAGCTGGAGGTCAGGAAAAATACTCAAATCATACCAAATTAAAGCTCAAATTTTGAACTTCAAATAGTCAAACCCAAGAATAAAGGTAAAGTTTTAAGCTAGAAAATCAGACATGTGTAATTTTGTTTTTATAATCAAGAACTTGTTGATATAAAATATTATCTGTTTGTAAGAAGTTTGTCACAAATTCTACAACTTTTTTTCTGGAAATATATGATTACTCCTGATAACTGGTATTCCATTTCATGCATTTTGCTACATCTGATTCAGATTCTGTTTAACGAGCAGTACAATAATAGGCATTATTTAGAGGGTGTACTTACTTTCAATAAATGCATTAAACTTTGCCACAAAGAATACTACTTTTGAGCTGTCTCGAATTTTGAATTTGAAGGGAAGACAGTACTTATGTGAATGAATTAGTGCATATTTAAAGCCTACTTACTGATCTCATTATTATATTACAGTAAAAATAGCCTTCATTCTATGAATGAAAGCACAGTCTCTGTATGTCCAGTCAAGGTTCTACTTAGTTATTATCTGACCCCGTTTGTTTCTTATTCCAATATAATTGTATCATATTTCAGAGACCCTAAATTAGTTTCTGCGACTTGTCCTTTTTTAAGAAAGAAAATTATAAGGTTGGTTATTTCTAAAAAAATAAAAAATTCAATTAGACACCGTGTATCTATACTTCACTCATGTTCCAACCCATCTGTTTTTTATTGCCAGAATTCCTCATCATTATATAATTCTGATCATTTTTCTCACTTGTGGGTGTTTCTCCAGATACTTTATACACAGATGAAGTACCTTAAGTCAGAACTTCATTTTTCAGCACTATACAGATTTCAGAAACTTCCCATTACAACATAAATCTGAAAAATCTAGCGCTAATTCTGGATATATACATTTTACAAGGCTCACTATTGTAATGTTCATGCAGCTCATTGGGTAAAAGCATCAATCTTCGATCACTAGCACAAGGGTAAAACTCTTAATAACTTAATATATTACCCCCAACAAGAGATCATTCCACCAGTCTGGACTAATCAGGTGGTAAATCAAATCAGTCACGTACAGGCTTGGTTCAGTGGTTGACCGTGTGTTGTATATGTGAGTGGAATAATGTTTTCAACTTGAAAGTGCTGGAAACTTGAAATGCAGGATTGTGTTTGTGGTTTAAAATGCTAGATTGTTGTCACGGGTTATAGCCTATACAGTCAGCTAAGTCTAATTATCAATCAGTAACTGATATATATATAACTAGACACTAATTACAAACTTGCAGACGTATCACTAGGTACTTAAAAGATCCGGGGCTCAGAACCATATGCGCAAGAATTTTCTGCGTTTCAATATGATATCGATCATGGTTTTCTATTCTTATTTTTCAAGACACCAACTAGGGATTCGGGTCATTGCTACATAAAATCGAGGCACGGGCTCCATGTTCCAATGCCTAGCGAGACCTCAGCTAGTTTGTTTTATCCTACATTCTGTCTATTGATTTGCATTTATAGTCGGGCGTTCGCAGAAATTTTTTCCAGAGAGGAGCGAAGTTTTCATAGAAGGGGGGGGGGGTAGTGTGGAATTGTAATTATTTCCTGCATTTAAACAAAAGTACAGCATGTGTGTTCTCGAGTCAAATTGAGACAATAGGTTTTCAAGAAGTGAGAACACTCTAAAATAGCATTTTCGTAGAGAAGATTATTCTGTTAAAACTTACTCAACCTATTACAGGTGAGGTTAGTTAATGAATTACAGCAAAGGTTTATTAAAACGTTTAAAATAAAAAGTAGTAGTGAAGGCCCCTATCGAGCATCGACTCGCAATCTGAAGGTCGCAGGTTCGAATACCCCCATCACCAAACATGCTCGCCCTATCAACCGTGGGGGCATTATAGAATTGACAGTTGATGGTGATGACTAGCTGCCT